CGCACAGCCCCCCCCGCTCCGCCCCCAGGACTCATCGCCGGGGGAGCGCTGTTCTCCGCGCCCTGCCATCCCTGGGGCCACCGCCGTGACCTCATGTCACCCCAGCACAGTGCAAGATCTGGGGGGATGGCCCCCCACTCCGTGGGGTGAAGAGGGCAGGAAAGGGCTGCGTGCCCCGCCCTACACAGAGCGTGAGGGAGCCGGCTCCCAGAGTCTTCCATCCCTGCCTGGAGACGCACGTGTCCGGGCTCCTCCCAGACCAGCCTCGCCGCGAACAGGGCCTGGGAACATTTCACACGTCCGGCTGGGGGCGAGCTGCTCACCGCGCACCAGCGACCTCCCAGAGCAGAGGGGCTAAGGGCAGAGCAGGGCCCACTCAGGCCAAGCTGACATCCGGGCCTAGCTCGCCCGCCTCATCGGCCCCACGCTGGCTGAGGGGGCTGCTGGGAGAGGGAAGGCGAGCGGAATGGGGGAGAGGAGAAAGAGTGGAACGCAGCGCCGCTCAGATCCTCCCCCACACAGCCAAGGCCAGTCCCCGCCCAGCGAGGGGGGAGTCTGGCGCCACGGTTCCACGCGTGCAAGCGAGGGGAGAGTCTGGCGCCACGGTTCCACGCGTGCAAGCGAGGGGAGAGTCTGGCGCCACGGTTCCACGCGTGCAAGCGAGGGGAGAGTCTGGCGCCACGGTTCCACGCGTGCAAGCGAGGGGAGAGTCTGGCGCCACGGTTCCACGCGTGCAAGCGAGGGGAGAGTCTGGCGCCACGGTTCCACGCGTGCAAGCGAGGGGAGAGTCTGGCGCCACGGTTCCACGCGTGCAAGCGAGGGGAGAGTCTGGCGCCACGGTTCCACGCGTGCAAGCGAGGGGAGAGTCTGGCGCCACGGTTCCACGCGTGCAAGCGAGGGGAGAGTCTGGCGCCACGGTTCCACGCGTGCAAGCGAGGGGAGAGTCTGGCGCCACGGTTCCACGCGTGCAAGCGAGGGGAGAGTCTGGCGCCACGGTTCCACGCATGAGACACACACGGAGACCAGGAACCGTGTGGGCAGCAGCATCCTCACTGCACTGCAGCTTCCCCACCCTCACTGCTCACAAGCTACACGGCGGCTTGCACCCCTCCCCTCTCCCCACTGATCTCAGCGATTTCCAAAGGGACCCCTCCCCCCGCAGCCTGCCACAGCCCTTCCTCCAGGCACAGCTTTCTTTTTCCCGTACGAAACACAGAGCGACTCGACCAATGGTCTTCCCCTGATCTGCTCTGGCTACCACACAGAGGCGCTCCCCATCCCCGAAGAGGCTACCCCGTCAGCATAACCTTCTCAGCCCTACGCTGGGATAACAGCACAGAGCTGGCTGGCCCCGGCTGTTGTTGAAGAGGCCATGGGGCAGGGTGCCCATCTCTAACCCCTCCCCGCAGCACGCAGAAGCGGGCTGGGGGTCAGAAAAGACAAAGCAGCGGGAGGTGAGATCCTGCTCCGTTACTTACCGAGCAATAGGTGCGTCTCCAAGATCCACTGGCGGAGGAGTTTTTAATATCTAGATATATATTTTTCTCTCCAAAAAAAAAAAAAAAAAAAAAAAAAAAAAAAAAAAATCAAGCAACAAAAGTACCCCCAAAAACAAACACACCGGGGAACAAAAAACAAAAGAAACCCTCCAAAACAGCAAGCGTGGCGGAAGAGGGGATGTAGCCAAGTCCTCAGTCGGCATCCGTGAGTTTTTCGTTCCAGTTCACAGGTCTGATTTATTTTTGTAGAAAAACCAACCAAACCAACCAACACACAAGCCCAGCTCCCCCAGCCCTTCCCGGTGCTGTCCCAAGTTGTGTTCCGCTGCCTTCCCTCTGTCAGCTCACACGCATGCAGGCGGGGGTGGGAAGGAGACGGCTGCGGTCCGATTGTCTTTCTGCTAGAGGCTGCGGGGCAGGAGGCATTGGGTGGGGAGGGAGAGGGGACGCGACAACACGGCTCAGTCCAAAAATCACAGCCACGTTGTTCGGAGATGGAGCGCGTTCTTATTTTTTTAAAAAAACAGGGGTTCTCTCTTCCTCTTCTCCGCTTTCTTTTTTTTTTCTTTTTTCTCTTTTTTTTTTTTTTTTAGAAAAGCAAACAAACAAACAAACAGTTCTCGATCTCAGTTAAATACAGAACTTGAAAAGTGTTCCAGAAAAAGTGCTGGCTAAATTAGCTCTGAAAAAGAAAGAAACAGAAGAGTGGGCTGAGAAGAGAACAAGACAAACACGGCCTATCACCTGGGGGATTCCCGCTGATGCACATTACGGTCCCACCTAGACGTCACAGGAGAAATCAGACCCCAATGCGAGGTGCTGTGTATGGGGAGACACAGCCCCTCCCCCAAAGAGGCAGTTTTAATAGCAATCCAGACAAAGGGCCTGATTCCTGTTTACACTCAGGTCCCTTCACAAGGCCCTGGGAGCGCAAAGGGGCCTTAAAGTCCATGAGAATGTAAACGGCTCTAGAAGCAGGCTCCCAGGCTGGAGGAAGGCAATGCTATTCGCCCCGCTTTGCAGGCGCCCATGGAGACAGGCAGTGAAACAAGTGGCCTGGTTTGCAAATGAGCTCAGAACTCTGGCTCGACGCGGCACGGCGAGCCTGGTGCATTCGGAGATTATTCGTGTGCTTGAATGGGAGCTGGGCTCCTTTCCAACTGCGGCCTAAGGGATGTGCCAAAGGTCGCCCAGGTTGTCTGTGGCAGAGCCTGGCAGGGACCCAGCTCTCCTAGGTCCCACAGAAACAGCCCTTCCCCCACCCTCTGGCTTTCCCCTGGCTCTAGTGGTCACTCCCGATTTACCCCTGCCTTGTGTGGAGAGAGAGGAGGTTGATGTTTGCACAGAGTCTCCCTGTTCCACATGATCCCCCTGACAGGGGAGATCCAGCCCACATGTCTTCCATACCCGGGGCCAAGTCTTGCTAGTTACAGCCACGAAGAGCCGTTGATGCCAATGGGCCTTTTGCAACAACCTGGGCTATGGCCCAGCCCATCTAGTCAGCGTAATCCGGTTCCAGGCTATTTGCCATGCTGGGTTACGCCTACAGGTCAGTGACCTCCAGTGTCCTGCCTCTGGCCAATCTAAGGACAAACGATCCCCATCAGCCCTCGTGCAACGCTCCACGTGGGAGGCAGTCCCGCTGCGGGTGCCTGGGAGCGAGCGGTTGGATGATCTCAGCCTGCACAGCTGGGCCTTGTGCACAGGGCACAGGGCACGTCTGGGTGCAAACGGACGTGCTGGGAAAGGGACCAAACAGCCCTGTGGGGAGGGGAGAGGGGGGGATTAGGGAGCTCGCCAAGCCCTCCGCGGCTTAGTGCCACAGAAAGTCGGGGACTAAGGGACTAGGGATGTGAATGACTAGTCGACTATCCAATAGCAAATGCCTATCCAATAGTCAACACACTAGTCGACTAGTTGCTTCCCCCCTTGCTGCCTCTATCAGAAAGAGGCAGCAAGTGGGGGAAGAGAAGAAGGTGCTTCAAAGCGGCAGTGCTGCGTGGAGCCCATGGTCAGTTGACCCCCTGCAGCACTGCCACTTTGAAATGCCGTAGGGAGCACCGGCCCCGTGCTCCCCGCAGCACTTTCACCTTTGACGTGCAGCAAAGACCTGGGGCTGTTGCTACACTTCAAAGGCAGAGGCGCCCTCATTGACGAATGGAATAGTGACTGCAAAATGCATCGACTATTCGATTAGCCAATGAATCGCCATTTAACGTGCCAAGGTGGGACCCTTTGTCGCAGCCCACACAGAACCCTCAGAGCCCACGACGGAGCCCGGAGACACTGGGCGCGTCACGCGCACTGCAGTTAAACCCACGGGCCTCCTCGCGACCCAAGCGATAGCAGGGTAGCGGGCCCCTAACAGCACCCTGGGTCCAAGTCTGGGGACCAGAATTTCCCACTGCAGATGTCCCCACCACAGCTGGGTGTGTGTCCTGGTACATGTGCTTAGCCACTGGCTGGCAAACCCAGGGAGGCAGGATGCCCACATCCCAGTTACACAAAAGTGGGACCAGTCCACGAAGCAGCAGTTATGGCCTGACATCTCTAGCGGGCCCCTAACAGCACCCTGGGTCCAAGTCTGGGGACCAGAATTTCCCACTGCAGATGTCCCCACCACAGCTGGGTGTGTGTCCTGGTACATGTGCTTAGCCACTGGCTGGCAAACCCAGGGAGGCAGGATGCCCACATCCCAGTTACACAAAAGTGGGACCAGTCCACGAAGCAGCAGTTATGGCCTGACATCTCTGACACCCACCATGCTGGAGAGACAGTCCTCTCCCTGCACCCTGGCCCTCCAGGGACGCGTCTCCTCTACGTGCTGCAGCGAGACGCACAGAGCGTCAGGGTGTCACCGCCTCGGCTGTGCACGCACGCGGGACGTGTATGTGCAGAAAGGTGAACACGTGAGACGCACCAGTTCCCTCTGGGCATTCGTGCAGGGCCCCCGAGCCTTCCTGGGGAGATCCGCTCTCCAGCCCAGGCTAGCACCCCCCTTCCCCCTCCATTCATGGCTCCATTCATCGTCCGGGCGGCTTCCGCCTCCATTCCTTTCCTCCCAACGTGGCGCCCTGGCCTGCATCCCTGGGCATTAGGGGCCGAGCTCGGAGCCTCCCCGCCCCCCCAACCCGCCCCAGAACCTACCCTGTAACAAAACCTCGTTGTCCGGTTGGCACTTTAGATGACACTACAATGAGGTGACTGTAAAAGTGTCCTCGGGGTGTTGCTCTACCATTGGACCCAAAAACCCGCTCTTCTGGGCCGCGGCCATGATGGGATGCCCTTGGGGCGGGAAACTCGGGTACCTGTAGTTGTCCTGCAGCGGCAGCATAGAGTCTCTGGGTACTGGGGAGATATTCAAGTCATTCATCAAGGGGCAAGCGTACGCCCCCCGGTGGTGGACCCTGGCCATCTCGAGGGGCTCCTTCTCGCCCTTGGAGGTGTTGGTGTTGCTGGGGTTGCCCAGGTGGGGGTTGAGGCAGGAGGCATCAGCTCTCCCCATGAAGTCCAGCAGCAGGCCGGCCCCGGGCTTGTTGTCATAGGGGGGACTCCTGGTGCTGGAGGTGGGCGAGTACCAGTAGCTGGGGGTTTTGCAGCTGGGGGAGTCGTAGTGGGGCTGAGGCATGGCGAGGTCTCGGCAGGCCATGTGCGCGGGGTGGGGCAGGCCGCTGCCTGGCATGCTGTGCTTCAGCGACTCGCAGGCTGGCAGCTTGCGGAGGTCGCTCGGCCGCAGGTCCTCCTTGAAGGCCAGGGTCGGGGAGCAGTTGGGCGAGAAGGCTTTCTGCAGGCTGGCTTCGAACACAGGCTGCTGGGCGGAGGCGGCCAGCTGGTGCGGCAGGGCGGGGAAGGGTTTGCTCTCCAAGTCCGTCTGGCCCAGGCCGGGGGAGTCGCTCTGAAAGCCTTGGACGAAGGTCCCGTCGGAAGGGGTGGAGGGGTTCATGGAGTAGGGCCCCGCGTAGTCGCCCGGCTCTCGCTCGCCGAGCCCGAAGCCCCGGGACTGGGAGGGGAGCGGGGACATGCTGCTGTCGCCGCTGTAATAATCCAGCCCCAAGTCCGTGCTCTCTTGAAATAGTGCGTTGACCTGCTGGGCTTTGGTGGGGAACTTGGCCTTGCCCGGGCCCCGCTCCTTCTTGGAGGCACAGGCCCCGCGGGAACCTCGCGGCTGCCTGGGCCCCGTGCTCCTCTTGGAGGGATACACCGAGGAGGAGGAGGAGGAGGAGGAGAAGTTCAGGTGGGAGGCGTCGAACATGTCCACCTTCTTCCGCCGTCCCCGCCCGGGCTTGGAGCTGCTCTGGAACAAGACGCTCTGGTTCCAGTTGTAACCTGGGGCCGAGGAGGCCTCGTTCCAGTCCATCATGAGCTTCTCCAGGCTGGACAGGCTGGACTGGCCTTCGCTGGAGGACGCCTCGCTGTTGGCCCGCCTGTAGCCGGCCGGCTGGTTGAACTGGGTGCTGTCGGAGGAGGACTCGGAGAAGGTCTCCGAGACCGTCTGCTGCTTGGCCTTCTGGGGGGTGTAGTTGGAGATGTCCAGGATGACGTTGGGCTCGTTGATGTGGCACTCGAAGCCTGGGTTATAGAGCTGGCTGAAGGCCTCGGAGCTCCAGTCCAGCCCGCTGTATCCTTGTCGGAAAGTCCACTGGGCAGCGGTGGGGAACTGCCGGCAATTCTCGGATGAGGGCTGGAAAGAAGCCGAACCTTTGGGGACCATGTAGCCGCCGGGGGACACGGTGCTGGCCCGGCTGTCGCATCTTAGGGGGGTGTGTGAGGAGCCGGAGAACTGGCTCGGCTCGGAGCTGGTGAAGAAAGAGGCCTTGCTGAGTGGCAGGCTGGGTCCCACTGTCTGCTGGGCATAGCCGGCGCTGTGGGCGCTGCTGGGGGACGAAGGGAGGCTGTTCCCGCTGCCGTAGGCGAAGCTGGAGGCCTTTGTGTTGGGGGAGGCTT